ATTCTAGTAATTATCATGCACTTCTTATAATTTTCTGGGATACCTTTTTGGTACGCATTTATACCGACTAGCAGAACCGGTATCTGCACTTTTCCTCCGAAAAGCGACTTTCAGCATTCTTAATCAGTTACTATAATTATATAAGCCTTATAGTAATTATTAGGGTTGATTATGGAATCATTTCCTATTTTGCATAATTAATTAATTAAATTCCTTAATTAACGGTGCGGGTTCTTACATTCACCCCACCTTTTTAGGATTTTGTCCTCAAAATCAGAAACATACCTGTCTCGAAAATCGGGGTACTGCCGGAGAAGCTCGTCCTCACGCTCCTAAGTACACTCCTCAGGAGTTCTTCCGGTCCACTGCACTTTGACCATCGGAATGATCTTGCTCCTCAGCTGCTTCTCGCCACGATCGAGAATCTTGAGTGGTCCGACGGGAGTCTTTAGGTTCTCCCGAACCTCCACATCATCCGGTTGCACCACGTGCGAAGGATCTGCGATTTACTTCCGAAGCTGAGACACGTGAAACACGTCGTGGATGTTAGCCAAGTTCGGAGGCAAGGCAAGCCGGTAGGCAACAGGTCCTACTCTACCAAGAATCTGGTATGGCCCAATAAATCGCGGGCTTAGCTTCCTCATTCCGAGTGCCCGACCAACACCGGTGACAGGTGAAAGTCTCACAAACACGTGCTCACCCTCACTGAACTCCAGTGGACGATGCTTGACATCGTAGTAGCTCTTCTGGCGATTCTGCGTCTGCTTCAACTTTTCTCTGATCATCTGGATCTGCAAGGTGGTATCTTGGACAAAGTCCAAGCCAAAAAGCTCCTTGTCTCCAACCTCAGACCAACAAGTAAGAGTCTGACACCTCCTACCATCCAGTGCTTCGTAGGGCGCCATGCCCAGGCTAGCATGAAAGCTGCTGTTGTACGAAAACTCAACCAACGGAAGGTACCTATCCCATGCCGAGCCCTGCTCCAACGTGCAAGCTCGCAACATGTCCTCCAAGGTCTTGATGGTCCTCTCAGTCTGTCCATCAGTCTGAGGGTGATAGGCGGTACTCAATCTCGACTGCGTACCAAAAGCCTCCTGCCGCGCCTCCCAGAACCGAGATGTGAACTTCAAGTCGCTATCACTGATGATACTCTCGGGCACCCCGTGAAGCCTCACAATCTCGCGAACATAAAGCTTGGCCAACTGCTCTGTAGTGAAGCTCACCTTCACTGGAAGAAAATGGGCAGACTTCGTCAGTCTGTCCACAATGACCCAGATAGAGTCACAACCCGCTTGAGTCTTCGGCAATCCCACCACGAAGTCCATGGAAATACCTTCCCACTTCCACTGTGGTACTTCAAAAGGGTTGAAGTTCACTAGACGGTCTCTGATGTTCAATCTTCATCTTCAAGCATCAGAACAAAAGGTCACACAACAACAATGCCCTTTCGCATTCCAAGACACACCGTCCTGGTTTTTCTCAAAAAGCTCATTCCCGACTCTCACAGTCTCCATCTCGAGAAGTGCACCCCCATACAAGGAAGTCACATTCAGATCTCGAAACATCACAATGACATCAAAAATGTCATTCGATTCTCTAGGATCATCAGTCACTTTCTCAACAGAGGCGACCTGACCCCACATACAGATGATTATTAACATGTTATGAACCCAGAAACACATTCCTTTTATCAAAAGGTTCAAGTTACGATTTTTAATTGCTTAAACAAGCTTAAAACATCAAAATGCACAAAAGATGATCATGTATACCTCCAATGCACCAAAACTCCGAAAATGAGGCACACAGGGGTTCCTCTACACAGCACTATGGTTCTGACTTTACCAAGATACGAATTTGGTCATCAAGCTTGACCCTTTAAGCCAAAAGGTGGCTTCTTGAAGCTCAAGAAGCCAAGAACAAGGTCACACAACCTCAAACCCAAGAAGACAGCCCCAAAGTCAGCAACTACACCTCACCATAGAGGCCACAAACTCAGAATGATACACTCCACACCCTCCCAAGGCCAACACTCACAAGCTACAAGTGTTCAAGGTGTATAATCTCTCATAAAAATGGTGTCTTGAAGGATTTTTGTGAAGAAAACTCAATGGAACAGAGAAAAGGGAAAGGAGGCAGCAGCTACACACACAACCCACGCATAAAATGGCTGAGTATCAGCCTAGGGTTGTGTGCAAGTGACTATATATAGTCCATTTAACACTAACCACACAATATTAACAACAATAGCTACGCTTAGCATTTTAATCTCAAACTTTAGATTCTGAACCTACTCATTTTTCTAAGATTTATCATATTTTTACTTTATTTTTTGGAGCACCTTTCCAGTATGCGCTTTTCATAGCCAGTATCAGTTTCTGACACCAGTTCTCATTATTTTAACTTGAAACTCGTTTTACAAGTCCTATATAATATTCTAGTAATTATCATGCACTTATTATAATTTTCCGGGATACTTTTTTGGTACGCATTTATACCGACTAGCAGAACCGGTATCTGCACTTTTCCTCCGAAAAGCGACTTTCAGCATTCTTAATCAGTTACTATAATTATATAAGCCTTATAGTAATTATTAGGGTCGATTATGGAATCATTTCCTATTTTGCATAATTAATTAATTAAATTCCTTAATTAACGGTGCGGGTTCTTACATTTCCCACTCCCTTTCCTCAACCTCCACGTCCCACAAGCCTTTCCATTTCCCCTCTTCTAAGTTGTCTATTTAAACTCAGCCTTTCCTTCCTTCGAGTTTTACTGCTCCCCATTAACTTAGAAAACTTTTCCCTTCTTCTACATTGTGCCCTAACCTTCTTTTTGTCAAAAATGACCAAGCTATCAATGAAAGTGACTCCTGTGGCCAGCCGTGGCCAAGAGCCAGAGTTCACTGAACCCATCATCCATCTATACCCAGAAAGAAACATATCCTTGCAGCAAGAAAAACTTGTCCTGCCTCCTTTCGTGAAGAAGTCTCTGACTAGCCTTAAGTTGCTTCGTTTTGCCACTGAAGATCGTGAGATGAATGTCTCAATGGTGGGTGAGTTCCTGTATCAAACCAGGAGACTGCCTGAAGACGATGCCTCTGATATTGTCACAGTGAGGGGAAAGCAAGTGTCGTTCTCCCCCGCTGCTATCAAGGAAGTACTCTACCTTCCTACTGTCTCCAGATGTCCATACCAGGAGTACGTGGAGAGTAAGGAAGTTGCCAAATTTCTGGGGAGCGTGAAGGAGACAATAGCCATCAGGAACCCCACCTACACCAAAGGATCCCTCTTCAAAGGAAGCATGAGGGACGGAGCCCGATTCTAGGCTTTATTTGCCAATTCCAACATCACTCCCTCCACGCATGAGGCCACTGTCAAGTGGGCCCTCCAAATCCAAATCTACTGCATCATGAAGAACACTCCTTTTGATGCAGTACCCCTCATTTATAACAGCTTGAAGAGGGAGATGAGAAAGACCACAGTTTCCCTCCCCTGTCTCATCACCAAGCTCTGCTTAAAAGCTGGTGTGGAGGCCCACCAGGATGACATAACAAAGGTAGCATCTATCATCGATGCTAAGACCTGGAATGGTCTTAGGAGCACCTACATTGATACAACCCAGCCCATTCCTGAAGACCTCAGACACACTGTCACCAGTGATGATGAGGAGGAAGCTCTTGTAGTCCCTCAGAAGAAAACCACAAAGGCCACTCCTTCAAAATCCTCCACTTCTGCCCACGTTCTGGCAAGAAGAACTGTTCCCCCTCCCACCAAGGTGAAAAATGATGCCCATGTTGCTACTGAAAGCAAACAGGGAAAAAAAATCCCCTGCCAAAGCTCCCCCAAGAAAGGGGGAACGTTCAAGTCAAAGGCTGAAGAGAACCTTCAGCAGCACCAAGAAGGTAGAGGGAGCATCCTTTGAGAAACCCATCACCCTCTCTGACAAAGAGGAAGAGAGAGATGAAAATGAGCCTTTGGGAAAAAGGCTGAAGGCTGGCAGAACGTCAGTACCCAAACCAGCTGCTAAGGAGACGTCCCGAAGCAGCTCTGCCACTACATTCTCTGACGTTCCGTCCCCACCACCTGCTCACTCTCCACCAACACCTATCACACCACACCCCTCTCCTGTGCAACAACAAGGAGAGGAGAGAATAAAAAAGGAAGTAGCTCCTGCTGCAGAAACATCAGTGGCTGGGCAAGAAGCTCAGCCACATAAGAAAAATAACAAAGGAAAGGGGATTCTTGTGGAATCCCTAAAAAGAAGAAAAAACCATCTGTTCCAAGACAAATCAGTCTGGGAGGCCCCCTCTTGTATCCTGTTAACCGTCCTGACACCACTGTGGACGAGGCTCTAGCTAGAGCTCTAGCAGAGGAAGAAAGGATAGCAGTTCCTCCACTGATGGAGAAACCCATTGAAACAATTCCTTCATCATCTAGACCACCAGAAGATGAACCCAGACCAACACCTGTTGTACCTCCTGTTGTTGGCAGCAGCCAGCAAAACAAGCATACAACTTCCTCCCCTGTTACAACAATCCCCCTCCCAACTAAAAAGAAGTCACAAATTGGGATTGCTGAGATTTTTGAGATGATGGGGAAAAGGATAGAAAAGCTGCTGCCAGCAAAATAATATGTTCCCCAACTTGATATGACATGCACCAATGAAGAGCTGAAAGCCCTAAGGGACGGATTGGACCAACTTTCTGCTTCCTTCAACAACTTCCAGGAACAACAGAAGGAAGAGAGAGAACAGCAACTCAGCACCATTAGGAAATCCATTCAGGAAACCAGTGTTGCCTCTTATGCATCAACACTCCAAGCTGTCAAGGGAGAAATCAGAAGAGCTTCTAACTCCCAAATACTTTCCAAGTCCTTGCACAACCACAGAGCTGAACACTTGCCCAGCAAGCTCCTCCTCAAACATTTCGAAGAAAGAAAAGAAACCAAAGAAGCCCTCAAAGCTTTGGAATGTTTTTGGAGGGGAGAATTTATGAGATGGAAATGAGGCTATTGGATGTTGAAGGGCAGATTGTCCACATTCGCACTGGCAGGACAATGATGAGGTCCACCATCAATTACCTCGTTGCCATAATCAGTGATTTACTGAAGGATGCCGAGAAATGGTTACCTGCAGCTGAAGTATTAAGATTGGGAGATCAGCTCAGGAGGAGACCCCTCACACAATAGGAAGTTGATGAAGCCAAAGAAGCTGGAGGTGCTAAGAAGGACAACAGACGTCCCTAGTGAAAAGAAGAATACCCTCCTAGTTATTAAATGTTAGTTTATTTCCAGTACTGTTTATTTTAATTCATTTTTCTTTTCTGTTCCCTTGTACATATTCTTTTTGCAATGAAAAAGCTTTTTGATCAAACTGCTTGGTACATATATTTCAGTTATAGTATTAAGGTTGTACAATTTTGAATAGCCAACAACATGAAACACAAAGTCACTGATTAATCATGCTTATTCTTTCTCTGAGTGCTTGAAATAGAAAAGTGCAGGGAATTTAATCTTCAGATTTTTGAAGGAAGCTGATCTGTGTGAACTAAGCTGGTAAGGAATGGACAAAGGCCAAACACTTACTTATGAGAGCGTTCCTGAGGTGTAACCACAATGAAACTTCTAAACTTGCTTGGTTGCTGTGAGTACTGCTGAAGAACAGATGGATTTCACTAACAAGGATCAACCAAATAAACACTTCCATTCCATCCACAGTCACCAACACATCGCCAGGCCAGCCAAAAAGACAAGGAACGAAACCAGAAATGAACAAAGAGGACAGAAAAAGGAAAACAAAGAAAAAGGGAACAGCCATTCAAAAGAATTCAAACGAAAATACCAGAAAATCTCCCTTCAAGGGAAGAAAAGGTACAAAAAGGAAAGGTGTTCCCCCAAACATAAAAAGTCCAGTTCAAAAACACAATTGTAAACGTCCCTTGGCCCCATGATTATGACCATCATTCTACCACACCTTCACAAAACCCTATTCTCAAAAGATCCTTGGAAGGGAAGACATATGCACTTCATAGGAAAACAGTAGAAAAACAAGTTCTGAAGAATCACATCCAGGAATGGACAGAGCAAACACCAAACCCTGAGTGATAGTGATACAGAAGATCAGCAACCTCCATTTACCTTGGAACAAATTCTTCTTACTTGTCACCTATGGAGAGTAGCTCATTTTTTGAAAAGTTTATGATTGCTCACTGGCTCAAGTTTCTTTCTGTTGAGCTATTCTTTGAAATTGAGCAGCCTGATACATTATTTCTGAGTTGTTTGAGGACGTAAATTTAGTTTTGGGGTGTTTGATGGGACGTAAATTCGTTCCCATCTAAGCCCATTTTGATCGCAAAATACTTTACGTTCCCTCATATGATGAGCAACTTAGCATGAAAATCACTTGTTTACACATTTGTGACAAAAACACAGTGAGGGAACGTATGATGACATATTCCTTTGAAAATATATTAAAAGGGGAATGGATTGAGATCATTTATTACACCTGCTACCTTCATTTGATGCTCTGCTCATTTTTTAGGAAACGTGGAAACAACGTCTTCTAAAAAGCAAGGCGGTGCTCCACTTAAGTAGCAGGAAACGTGAACAGCAGAGAATCAAGAGTTCTCATTGGCCAAGAAGAAAGCAAGGCATTAGGGGACTGTAGAAAACGGCTAATCATTAACAAATACTGTCCCATCAAGCAACTTGCAAAGCTTCTAAACATTGTTGCCACCGCCCCATCCCTTCATTCAAGAAACCAACTCCAAAGGATTTACAAGACTGCCACTCTCTCTTCTGCCTATAAATAGGACGTCCCAAACACAAAAACATCATCGAATTCTAGAGGGATTGAAAGTCCTAAAAGAAGAGATCACCTAGTAGTAGTTAGTAGTTTAGTTTTATATAGTTGTAATTGTAGTTAAGTGACAACCCTTCTTCTCTGTTCTGTATCATCCCCTAAGACTCCTCACGAGCATCAAACCACCTTCTTCATTTTTATGTTTTATTGTAAACTGTCTTTCAATTTAATATAAGTGTTTCTTCTTTTTGTTCCATTCGTTATCTCTGAGCTGAATCTCGGGTCTATGGGACTTCAGTTTAGAATAATTATGTTTAAAACATCAGCCATGGGCTGAACTATCTGTGGGACGGATAAACTGCAACATTCTTAAAGAATTATTTTTGAAACTCTTGACTGAAGCTTTTTGTATTTCTTTGGCTAAGTAAGCTATATTCATTGTGTATCAATGTAAATTGAACATATACTGAGAAAGGAACTTCCATAAGGAAGGTATTTCAAATAGCTTAGCCATTGGGGGCAGGTAGTGTCATGGCAAAAAAACTATTGGTCACCTTCGGAATAAGGCGTCGTTTCGTCCACTTTAAGGTTCTGTACTGAGTACCTGTTGGAGTCAAGGGAGCCATAGGAATATGGAAACTTGTGAGCCATCTAGTCCATGAGCTGAGGAATCGGAGTTGGCAGATAAGAAACTGGGACAAAGCCAAAAAGTGTTAAGTCTTGAGCAGAGGAAAAAACTATTTAAGAATGGAGCAATGAATTTGTTCTTTCTGTTAAACTGTTTTTAAACCATCCATTGTTGTCTCTTAATTATAGTTGGTACTGTATTATTATTTTTACTTTATTTAATCTTGTATCTACCAAATCTCCAATGATTATTATCTCACCTTCTTATAAACAGGAAGGATCACATATATAACGCAGCAAGCAATTGTTTGCCATCAGACTGAACTTACTGTTTCTGAGGAACGTTGTCAAGACAGTAGGAAACGTTTGACCATACAGTTCATTCACTAACTTTTCTTCTCATTTTCATTCTTTATAAACTAGTGTAAGACAATATCTAGAGTTCTATCCTCGTGGGAACGATAATCTAGGCCTTAATACACCCATTATTACTTGATGCGTGCACTTGCGCACTTGGGTTGGAAGTAAGGGAACGAGTCTGTGTTCTACCACCAATATAGAACAGAGGAACGTCCCCCATCAGAACTTATATTTTTCCACCATTAGCAAACCACCCAACAAGGCTTAAATAATTATGATAACTGTTTTATAATGCTGAAAGTCGATTTTCTGACGAAAAGTGCAGATACCGGTTCTGCTACTCGGTATAAATGCGTACCGATGAAGTATGCCGAAAAATTATGAAAAATGTGTATATGTCACTAGAATAATATGTAGGACTTGTAAAACAAGTTTCAAGTTAAAATAATGAGAAATGGTGCCAGAACTGATACTGGCTATGGAAAAGCGCGTACCGGAAAAGTGCTGCGAAAAATAAAATAAAAATATGACAAATCTGAGAAAAATGAGTAGGTTCACAATCATAATTTTGGGATTAAAATGATAAGCGTAACTATTAGTGTTAATACTGTGTGATTACACTTAAGTAGACTATAAATACAACTTTTGGGACCAAAACCCTAGGCATTCCTTATTGCTACGTGGTATTTATGGCTGATTAGCTCTCCTGTACACTGTTCCATTGGTTCTCTTCTCCATTTCATGAGCCAAGGGCCATTTCCTTCATAAATTCTTCTCCTAAACACTTGGTGTGGGTGAGAGTTAGCATTGAGGCTGTGTTGTTGGCCTTGTTCTGAGTTTTGGCTCTGTTGTGTGAGGTCTTGGAGGGCTGAGTGCTTGAGTTTGGGTTGTGGGGGTCATCTTCTTGGCTTGTGAGAACTCCAAGAAGAAAACTTTGTGAAGAAAGGACCTTGCTTGAGTGGTATTTTCGTGTACCTTTGGAGTAAGCACCTTGGAGCTGACTTGTGAGCTCCAAGAGCACCTTTGGTTTGCTATTTGTAACCTTGGGTAAGTGTCACCACCTTTGATTATGATTTTCCTAATTAACAACGTCCATATTTTTCTTATCTTAGATCTATGAAATCTTATTCTTGCTTTGTTGTTTCTTTCCACTCAAGTATGAGCTACAACAACGTCCATGTCATGTGTGTATGCATCTTACTGGCCAGAGAATAAAAGGTAAGGTTTACGCATGTCTGCAACCTACAATACAAAGCTCCTCTCCTGTACCTCATCCATGGAGTTACCATCTTGTATGTGGCCCACATACTCAAGGATTACCGTCTAGGGTGGAGCACCCCACATACATAACATACGACATTTGCACTCACAAAACAACTCAACAACATATAAATACTTATAACATAAACAGATATAATTCCAAAATTCAGCTCAACAACATATCCAATACTCATAACATAAACATATATAATTTCTAGAAAACATATCATGCACATAAACCAATGCCCCATAGGTTTGGTGGAACAAGCGATGGATAAACTCGAGGACCAAAAGCTTACCTATCAAACTAAATCCTCCAACACCAACTCAGTATCAACTGGATCATCCACAGACATACAGTTCGAAAAGTAAAGCCTATTTTATGTTAAAAATATTATTAATAATTAGATTCCCAAATTTCATGACATTTGGACTATGTTTTCTTTTTCGCTTAGTGATTTCAGGCTTCTACTAAAGACGTTAGGCAACAAACCGTGTTTACTCTTTTTATAACTTTAATTGTATCTCTTTACTAAAAATTCTAATATTTTAATATGTTAAAGTATACATCCTAAGCTTTCCAACGACATATTTTATGTCTCAATCGGAGTTGTATAACTTCAGTTATGTTTTTCGCAAAGTGACTGCTGCAAACTGAATTTCCAACAACAAGGCAGCAGCTTCAAATTCAAACCGCAATCAATCCACTTATTCAATGGATCTAAAATTTATAGGGTTATATCCTTATGTGTTAGCTTCACATAGGTCCAAACCTCACTCAATTCGGAACTCTGTAACTCGATATATCACGATCTTACCAAACTAGTGCAATGTTGTCACATATGCATTAGGTAATCGATTACCATACAGGGGGTAATCGATTACCCTTCATGGTAATCGATTACCTTAGAGAGGTAATCGATTATTGCTATAAGGTAATTGATTACCACCTGTGCAGAAAAGCGAAACTGCAGATTTTCTTGCATAATCCGAGTTCCAATGGCCTTCCAAGGTTCCAACCTTCGACTTACCCTCAAACAGAAGTTCAATCTATCATATTAAAATTAAATTAACAACCTTTAACTTCAGTCAT